AAGAAGGGAAAGCATATGAGAAAAGTATATATGATTGGATTTTTTTTTGCTGACTACGGTAGGAGGTGGGTGGTTGAGCACGCAATAAATGGCAAAAAAAAGAAAGTGACACTTGATTAATCTAGGTCTCACCACGTCATCGAGTGGTATTTTTGGATGCGCCCTCTCCGTAACCAATGATGTAGATTAAAAAAAAATTTGAAAAATGAAATATTTTCGGAGTACTGCATGTTCAGAGCAGAATATCTCAGTTGTCTTTGGAGCTATCAAAAAATGTTCAACTAGTAAAATGTTTGAAATGTGTTTCTAAACATTTTCCAAGTTGACCACTTTTTCATAACTCTAAAGACAACCGAGATATTCTACTCTGAACATGCAGTACTCCGAAAATATTTCATTTTTCAAATTTTTTTTTAATCTACATCATTGGTTACGGAGAGGGCGCATCCAAAAATACCACTCGATGACGTGGTGAGACCTAGATTAATCAAGTGTCACTTTCTTTTTTTTGCCATTTATTGCGTGCTCAACCACCCACCTCCTACCGTAGTCAGCAAAAAAAATCCAATCATATATACTTTCTCATATGCTTTCCCTTCTTTCTCCCTTTTGAACACAACTTTCCCTTTCACCTGTGCTCTTTTCCCTTTTATGGTTCATAAGGTAAGCCGAAACACACAAAAATTGCTTATACATACGAATTTTGTTTGCTTATGTAGAGGGACAGTACCGACTATACAAAAAAAAACTTTGGAGCCAAACTTTGACGGCTCATAACCTTAGAGTAAGAAGAGATAGGAAAAAGTTGTCAACTAAGAAAATGTGCAAAAATTTACAATATCTAATTCTTTAGTTGACAACTTTTTGATATCTCTCACGACAAAAAAGTTACAAGTTGACAAATGAAAAGTTCACCTAGCAAACACTTGCTAAGAACGCTCATATCTCAAGAACCATTGAAGTTAGGAAAAAATGGTCAACTGAAGATCGATACAGCTGAAAATTTCCTACATTTTACTAGTACATGACATTTTGATAGCTATCATGCCTGCGGAGTTACAGCCCTTCAAACATTTTACCCCTTTCTCATCCCTCCTAGTGCGCGCCATCGCCAGTGAGATGTCGGCCGCTTCATTCCTCGCTAATTCATAGGTTTCCCCCATTCCGCACTGCAATCACGGACGGTCCGGAGTCAGTGGGTTATCCAAAATTTGAAACCCTCCCATTGACATCAACTTGACCGTTTGTTTTGCATTTTTGTTTTGTTGAATGGCGCGCCTCCGGCGCTTCAGCAGCCTTGCTTTTTTTTTGGAATTTTTTCCCTTCAGGACCCGAATTTTTAGCCACAAAATATCTCGGACCGCTGAATTTGAATATGTATATACAAAATTTTTTTCAAGTTACCTGCCTGCGCGCCTCCGGCGCTTCAGCAGTCTAATTGGTTTTTTTTTGTAATTTTTTCTCTATAAACCCACAACGCATCCCCACCAGGGCTGCGTGCAAAATTTTCGAAAAAAAATCATTTTTTTTTCGGTTTTTTCGGCGAAAAATTTTTCGAAATTTGGAACCGAAAAACTTTTTTTCGACGAAAAAACAGAAAAAAATTTCGGAAAAAACGGTTTTTCAGCTGTGTATTTTCATGTTTTTACCGCCTTTTTATCCATTTTTCCTGAAAAAAAAACAGAAAAAGTTCGAAAAAATATCCCGAATAATCATTTTCTTTTTTTTTCGACCTGAAAAATTCGAAGAAAAAAGTTTTTTGGAATTTTCCGGTCCAAAATATTCGAAAAAAAATTTGTTCGATTTTTTTTTCGTAATTTTTTTCGCACAGCCCTGATCCCCACCTCTCCTTCGCGCCACTCCCCGTTTCTTGTATGGCAAGCGCACCTCTGTCGTCGTGGCACCATGTGGCCAACTGGTAACGCTTTTGTCTTTCACCCACAAGGTCCCGGGTTCAATTCCACCTGGTGGCTAATCCTTTTGTTTTTTCTTTTGCAATTTTTTCTGGTATATATTTTGCCGACCTACTCACTTTGAGTCAATCATCTCTCTTTTGAAACACCAATTTTCTCCCAATTTTCCCATTTTTTTTTCCAGCTGCTCTTCTCTTTGATTTTCTGTCTTTGTTCTCTCGAATTCGTTGATCAATCAGAAAAACCAGTTGATGTCAACTCCCTCTATTTTTCATTCTCATGATGATGGGAAATTTCGGAAAAAAATTATTTTTTGCATTCTTCGATTTTTCCGCATTTCTCTGATTTCGCACGCCCGTGTTTTCAATATTCGAGTCTCATTTTGAATTTCCTCCGGAAACCAGAAAAAAACAGAAGATTTCCTTCGATTTTTTGTGAAAAATAAACAATTGTATTTTGGTTTTAGCGATTCATATCTAGGTATAACTAGGTACAAAAAATATGACGACGTACTTTTTAGATTCTATTTTGAACAAAAATTTTATAGTTCCGATCCACTTTTTCTGTAACAAAATTGTGTTTTTTAATTGTTCCAGCACATTTTTTGGAACTTTTTTCTGGAACAACCCTGTATTCCTCAGATTTTGAGCCGAGTTAGAACCGAAATACTGGAAATTTTCATTTTTTTCAGATGGGACAGTCATTAGAAGAATGAGTCATCGTGAGACTGGCAAAGATATATTTTCAAAAAAAATTGACGTGATTTCACAAAAATAGTTGCAAGACTCAGTTCATCAGCTGACGACACTTTTAGAGCATGTAGCAGTGAATTCATAAAAATTGCCGATCAAAATGCACGCGCCTTTAAAATAGTAGATCAAAAAATTCTCTTTCGATTGCTATAAATATCATATTGGGTTGTATCAAACCATGTGCCTCGGAAACACAAAACCTCAGTTTTCTATGGGTTTTGAAAACCATATTTTCTGCGTGTTAACCTGAAATCGATCAACTAAAAAATGCAAAACAAACGGTCAAGTTGGTGTCAATGGGAGGGTTTCAAATTTTGGATAACCCACTGACTCCGGACCGTCAGTGATTGCAGTGGGAAACGGGGGAAACCTATGAATTAGAGAGGAATTAAGCGGCCGACATCTTACTGGCGATGGCGGGGAGAAGAGAGAGGGAGAACTGTTGCGCGGTTGGTAAATAGGATTTCCAGGCGAAATTCAGATTTTTGAACTCAATTTTTGAAAAAAACCAGATGTTTGTGATTTTTTTTGGATTTTCAGTATTTTCAGTCTACTTTTCTAGTAGAACCCTATTCAATTTTTGTACCAATCGATAGATCAAAAAATCCTCTCAAAATTGGTATCAACTGCAAAATCGACCAGCTGTATTTTCCAAATAGATTCTAGCAGCTTATTTGATTTTTTTTTCGGTTTTTTTCGTCTTTTTTCCATTTTTTTGGATTCCAGGTTTTTGTTCTAGTAGAACCCTATAAGATTTTCAAACCAATCGGTAGATCAAAAAATCCTCTATCGATTAGTATAGTTATCATATAGGGGTTGTATCAGAAAAAATGGGCCGAAAATTCAAAAAATCCAACTTTTTCGAATTTTTTGGATTTTCAGTTTTTCAGCCGTTTTTTCTGGTTGTACCTTATATGATATTTATACCATTCGATAGATCAAAAAATTCTCTATCGATTGGTATAAATATCATTCAGGTTTGTAGAAGAAAAAGTAGGTCAAAAATCCAAAAAAATTCGAACTTTCGATTTTTTTTGGATTTTCAGGTTTTTCAGCCATCTTTCCTAGGTTAAAACCTACCTAAAACTGAAATTCCAGAATTTTCTCCAATTTTTTGCGAAAGTGCTAAGAACGAAAATAGTTTGTTCTTCTGATTCTGCCTAATGAAACGAAAATAATTAAGTTTAAATTTTCGATTTTTTCGGGTTTTCGGGTTTTTCAGCCTTGTTTTCTAGTAGAACCCTATATGATATTTATACCAATCGATAGATCAAAACATTCTCTATCGATTGGTAAAAATTTCTTTTATAGTTGTAACAGAAAAAGTAGGTCAAAAATCCAAAGAAACTTCAATTTCTCGATTTTTTTTTTTTTTGGAATTTTCAGGGTTTTCATCCTTATTTTCTAGTAGAACCCTATATGATATTTACAAGACTGCTTGCCGCGCCTTCGGCGCTGCAGCAGTCTTGTTTTGTTCGCCGCTTCGCGGCTCACTTTCGGAACATGATGTTCGCGGCTTCGCCGCTCACTATTCAGGAAAAGGTCACGGTATTTTTTTTCAATCCGTGAATTCCTCACGTCGTTCTTTTATTATAAGAATGATTTTTGAAAAAAAAATCAAACAGGTTGAGTAGACTACTCTGGAAAAGTTTAGAAAGTTCCAGAACTATCCAAATGTCTATTTTTATTGATGGAGATTCTTATTCACATACCCACTACTCTCCTGCACTTCTATTTCTTGTTCATAACTTTGTAGCGAGCAAAAGTGCACGCGAAAGTTGGATAATTTCCGATGTTCTGAACAACCATCCCATTCTTCTGCCTCTCCGGATTACCCCGAAGAAGCGTTTCCAAAATTTTTAGTTATTCGACACACTCTTTCGAGAGTTCGAAACGACAGCTAACCTTTGTTATAGGGTTAAAACCGAATTGTGAAGCGCGGGCGCGCCTTATACGTTTCCGCGTGTACCGACATCTCCCGGGTTCCGCCGCCCGCTATGTTTTGTGTGGGAGGAAACTCCGCCCCTCTTTCTCTGCGTGTCTGCCGTTCTGAGCCCTATCTTAGCACAGGGCTCCAGAGAGCTCCAAATGGAAAACGGAAAAAACCTGCGTCATCGCGGTGAAATTCTCTTTCGGAATATGAAAATTTCCTGAAAAACGGACCGATAGGAGCGGCGCTATCATCGCGGACATACACACAGACACACAGAAAGCGGTGATTGTTAATAGTAAAGATACCAATCGATAGATCAAAACATTCTCTATCGATTGTTATAAATATCATATAGGTTTTTTAGCAGAGTAGATCAAAACCTGGAAAACCCGATTTTTAGGTGCTTGTGAATTTTTTACTGAAAAATGTGCTCAGAATAAAACCTTCTTGTTTTTTTGATTCTGCAAACTCTTAACAAACTAAAAATATATACATAATTCTGTGAAACAAAGCTTTTTTCTCATTATTCCCCCTCAACTTCCTCCTCCTCTCCCCCTGAAACTAACTAGAAATTGGAGAGAGAGAGAGAGAGAGAGAGACGCAGAGAAAGAAATAATTTATTTATTTATAAAAATAAATAGAATAATCTTTTCCCCCCTCTTTTTCTCCGAAATATGATTATTTTTCCTATCGGTTAGGTCGTTTTCTTTTTTTTTCAATTACTTCTTCTCCTCCTCCACACCCATTTTTCCATCTGTTTTTCCTATTTCTTTCGGCTCAGAACAAGATTTCCCGTTTTCTTTTTCTCATTTATTTTTATTTTTATTTTTATCCTCTTGTCATCCATTGAATCGGTCCCCAGTATGAATGGGTTGGTATACAGATGAGAATGAGCAATGAGAAAGAAGTGGATTTGCAGAAAAAAAAGATGAATCACTTTTATTTTATTCATTTCTGCGAGAGAATGATGATGAACCATATAAATTTTTTGGCCATGCTTCTGGAAAAAATGACGATTTCTTCCCGATTTCCGGGAAACCAATTCAAAAAGGTAGATCAAAAAATTTTCTATCAAATGGTATAATGATCCTATATGGTTGTTGCAGAAAGCATGGTTCAAAAATCATGAAAACTGAAATTTGGTACAAATTTTTCAATTTCGGGTTCCTCAAATAGTTTTCCCATTAAAAAAATTATCAAGAAGGAAACCCCCCCCCCTGATTTTTAGCGTAAGCTGTTTATTTGCTCTTCGCTTGCACTCTCCCGTGAGACGTCGGCCGCGTCATTCCCCTCTAACTCAAAAGGTTTCCCCCCTTTTCCACTACAGTCACGGACGGTCCGGAGTCAGTGGGTTATCCAAAATTTGAAACCCTCCCATTGACACCAACTTGACCGTTTGTTTTGCACTTGCTGGGTTTTAGGTGATCAACGCGCCTCCGGCGCTTCAGCATCCTTTTTTTTTTTTGAAAATTTTTGATTCGGAAACAAGTACGTTTCACTGAATTTTAACGTACTACGCGCCTCCGGCGCTTCGGCAGCCGATTTTTTTCTGGAGTTTGCATGTTTAACCTATTATTTTTGTAATTTCTCCGAAATTTTCGAAATTTTATGGCTGATTTATTCGTTGCTGCCTGGGCTTAAGACCATATCTTATAGTGTTTTCGCTAGAAAAAAGTTTGATTATATTCATTTTCCACCGCCAAAATTTCCGAAAAAATTTTCTCAATTTTTTCAATCCAAACTACTCAAATGAGATTGTGTAATATTTTTTTAAATCTAAATTTTTAATTAAATATTTTTGAATTTCAATTTAAAAATTCCGAAATACCCATCACTCAGAAGGGTCTCCCGTTTAAATATTTTCTGAGTGTTTTTTCTAGACCCTCCACCTCCTCTATACCCCTCCGAGCCCCACAAAAGCCTAGCTCCATTGTTTTCTCTCCAATTCCTTTCATTATTCCTCCCCGCTATCATTCATTTCCATTCTCACTTTTTTCCCATTTTTCGGTCAATTTTTTTTCTTTTCATTCAGTTTTGAATATAGATATCTGAATGAGTCAATCAATGATATCATTTCATACTTTTCCATTCTCCTCCTCCTCCATCTTCCTCAAGTCATTCATATTGATAAAGCTATAAAATGATGATTTTTGACATAGATTTTTCAATTTTTTTTTCGGAAATTTTTTTTTCTAGATTTGTATCTGACTCCTTTTTCTGATTTACTCAATTACTCCAAGCTTTTTGTAGTTCCTCTACTATAGTTATTGTGTACATTGGTCCCATGGCCTAGAAACCCAAAATTTCGGATTTCTAGGCCACTCAATTCCAAAACTCGAAAAATATTCCCCAAATGACCCTGAGCACAATGGT